ATGAGGTGAGTCCAGTTGAGTTTCTGGTCAATGGTAACCCCCAGGATGTTGATGTTGGGGGATTCAGTGATGGTAACACCATTGAATGTCAAGGGGCGGTGGTTAGATTGTCTCTTATTGGTGATGGTCATAGCCTGGCATTTGTGTGGTGCGAATGTCACTTGCCACTTGTCAGCCCAAGCCTGGATATTGCCCAGATCTTGTTGCATTTGAACACGGACTGCTTCAGTATCTGAGGAGTCACAAATGATGCTGAACATTGTGTAATCATCGGCGAACATCCCCAATTCTGACCTTATGATGGCGGGAAGGTCATTGATGAAGCAGCTGAAGATGTTTGGGCCTAGGACACTACCCTGAGGAAATCCTGCAGGGATGTCCTGGAGCTGAGGTGACTGACCTCCCACAACCACAACCATCTTCCTACGAGCCAGATATGATCTAACCTCTGGAGAGTTTGCCCCCGATACCCATTGTTCCAATTTTTCTCAGGCTCCTTGATACCACACTTGGTCAAAGGCAGTTACTGAATCAAACCACTTCCTGTTCACTTTCATTGGACAGAATCTATTGAATCCAAACTCTTTCCAGTCAGTATGAACCCCAATGATCCTGGGTTCTCATGCTGTAACTTGCTCAGCATGGTCTTCAGGAATTAAGATTCCTGGGAGAGTTGGTTTGTGTTTTGGTTGAAATGAAGGTCTTTGGTATTTTTCTTTTTGAAGCATTCATGGACTTTTTTTTTGGTTATTATTCTCAGGAGTTTATAATAACCTTGTTGTCAGATGATAGTTTTATGTCTCCCCGATCAGACCACAATTTTGAGCTGTTCTAAATCAATTGCAATTGAACATTTTATAAAGACAGCAGCCAGCAAACCAGCTGATACCAGAGAGAAAGGTCCCCAGTTGTTAGTTTTCCAGAAGTTTGGGACAGGTTCAAACTGTCCTGAGACTTGTCACTGTAAATACCATGGAATCTGGCCTCAAACTGAGTTCGATTAAAAGCTCCTGTGAAGCACTTTGGAAAGCTTCACTATTCGGGACAGGTGCTATATAAATGCAGGTGGCTTCTGCTGTCCTCAAATCCAATCTGTAGCGGGCACCTACTCCAACTGAGTTCTGAGGAAGGGTCACCAGACCCGAAACGTTAACTCTTTTTTTTCTCCTCCACAGATGCTGCCAGACCTGCTGAGCTTTTCCAGCAACTTCTGTTTTGTTTCCTACTCCAACTGTCCTCATTATAAACTGTGCCCAGGGGCTTTAATCCCCACTTTGAGCTGATAGTCAGAAATGAGCTGAATATGTTGTCCCTCCAACATTTATCTCAATTGAGTTTTGGTTTAAACCGTCACCAACTGAAGCAACATTGTACTGCTCCATCCTAACAGGACGGGTTTTTGGGAAGGGTTTTGAAATGTTTCTTAGCTTTCTGCTACACAACTTCCCTTCCTTCTAGATCCCTGCTCTGCCCCTAGTAATTTCACAGTAAAACTGTTGCACACCTTACCTGCCTCAGCACAGACGGACTTTTTGCAAAGTGAGAGCGGTTTGTAGCCTCCGGGAAGCAGCCCGAGCCCTGGGTAAATATTTGTGCTGACGTCGGAGCTTCGGGATGTTTCTGGAGCCGATTTTGAGGCTGCCTGGGCTTTAGCGGATCTCCACACAGCAACGTGGCTGAGAGCAGGAATGGGTTTGATCTCCCGGGATCCCAAGGACACTGAGAAGCTGCTTCCTGTCCACGCAGGCACTAGCAAAGCTAACCACAAAAAAATGCCGAGAAACCAACTGGCCATGTTCACTTGCTGGAATCACACTCAAACAAATTCAGCATTTGCCTTTCTGAGTGTTTCTACATGGCGACAGATCTAACGTGTTGGAAAACGGGTCGGAGAATCCGCGGGCCCCAAAGCTCAGTGAAACCCTCCAGCCCTTCACCCTGGCAGTGCCCGCAGGACAGGGAGAGGCAGTTTCCAGCAGAATGGCACCCAGTGAGGGAGATGGTACCAATTCGGGCACACCACACACACCCACAGCCCACTATTGCAGAAATGTTGCCCCCTCCACATTTCACATCAGCTCTGATGAAGAGTCATCTAGATTGGAAAGGTTAGCTTGCTCTCTCTCCATGGATGCTGCCTGATCCACTGTGATCCCCAGCAGATATGATGTGGTCTGGGTAGAACCCAATAGTTAGATCACAGACACCACAAAAAGGCAAGTTCTTGTTGAGACAGATATCTTGAAGTTTATTAACGATAGTAACCGTTTACATCAGGGATTGTTTCTCATTGTATAACCTTCCCTGGAACAGACTAGTGTTAGATTTGGGAATATGGAATGAGGTAGTTATGATTCTTTGGGCGATAGTGATCACAACATGATAGATTTTCAAATTGAGTTTGAGGTAGAGCAACTTGGGTCTTAAACCAGAGTCCTCAAATTAAGTAAAGACATTTTTTTCCCTTTATTCATTCATAGGATGAGGGTGTTGCTGGCCAGGCAGCATTTATTGACCATCCCTAATTGCCAAGAGGGCAGTTAAGAGTCAACCACATTGCTGTGGGTCTGGAGTCACATGTAGGCCAGACCAGGTAAGGATGGCAGTTTCCTTCCCTAAAAGGGCTTTAGTGAACCAGATGGGTTTTTCCCCAACAACTGGCAGTGGATTCATAGTCATCCTTAGATTCTTAATTCCAGATATTTATTGAATTCAAATTCCACCATCTGCTATGGCAGGATATGAACCCACGTCCCCAGAATGTTATGTGGGCCTGTGGATTGACAGCCCAGCAATAATACCACTAGGCCATCACCTCTCCCTGTTTACAGGGGTATGAAGAAAATGTTGTTTAAAGTGCCTGGAAAACCTGACTCAGGAAAAGCCAGTGGCAGATATTGAAGCAGATATCTCACAACACCGAGCAAAATTTACTCCAGTCAAAACCGAAGACTCAGTGAGAGGAATGAAGCACACAGATAGTTCATGCGGTTGGTTAAGGAGAGTATCCAAACAAACACTACTGCATAAAAAGCAGCAAAAACTAGTGGCAGGCTAGAGATTGTGAACTTTTAAGAATCAACAGTGGAGGGTGAAAAACCTACTAAAGGGGCAGAAAATTGGTTATGAAAGTAAATTGGTAAGAGATACAAAAAAAGGAAGCACTTCCATGTGTATCTAACAAAAAGAAAGAGAGTAGCTAAAGTGAGTGGGACCTCTGGAAGATATGACGAGGGAATTGACAGGGCACAGGGAAGTAGCAGATCATTTAAATCAATATTTAGCATTCATTGGATTTCCCAACATCCTAGTTGACAGGGCCCTCAGCTGGGTTCAACCCATCCCCCACACTTCAGCCCTCACCCCCTACCTTCCCTCCCACAGCAGAGATAGGGTCTGCCTGGTCCTCACCTACCATCCCATTAACGTACACAACTGAAAGACCATTAGTTGCCATCTCCACCACCTCCAGTGGGATGCCACCACCAGACACATATTCCCCACCCCCTCCTCGTCAAGCCTTCCACAGGGATCGTTCCCTCTGGGACACCTGGTCTACCCCTTCTCCATTCTCAAAGCTTCCCCACAGCCCCATGGCACCTTCCCATGCAATCGCAGAAAGTGTAACACCTGCCCAACGTCTCTGTCTCAGGTTTGTTTCAGTGATCCAGCAAAGCTCGGCACAATCTGGAAGAACAACACCTCATTTTCCACCTGGGAACCCTGCAGCCTTGTGGACTGAATATGAGGTTCAACAATTTTAGGGCCTGAGCACCTTCCCCCATGTCCTTACCCCAACCCCATACACCAGGCCTTGTTGTAACATAGCCTGGTATCATAAACAACCCATTGTCAGCTACTAATGATCCCCAACAGCAGCTATTGATGCCCCAGGCTGACCTTTACCCTTTTCTTATTTGTTCAACTGTTCTCTCTGCCCGGGCTCCATCTCTACCTATTGTTTACCCTCCACCCCACCCTGCAACCTCCCAACCCCGCTAAACTTCGTCATATATACCAAGCTTTTCCTAACTACAGTCAGTTCTGAAGAAGGGTCACTGGACCTGAAACATTGACTCTGCTTTCTCTCCACAGATGTTGCCAGACCTGCTGAGTTTCCCCAGAAATTTCTGTTTTAGTTCGAAGAATGAGGGGTGATCTTGTTGAAATATACAAGCTTCTGAGAGGCTTGACGGGAGAGATGTTGAGAAGATGTTTCCACCAATCGAGGGGTGAGGGGGGTGGGTCTGAAACTAGAGGGACATAGTTACACAAAAAGGGACTACTCATTTAAAACTGAGATGTGAAGGAATTTCTTCTCCCAAGAGGGTGCTGAATGTCTGGAATTCTCTACTCGGAAGCCAGATGAATGAAGATATTTAAAGAGGAGGTGGATAGATTTTCGAAATATCAGCGAGTTATGAAAAGCAGGCACAAAAAAAGAGTTGAGACTTGATCCAATAGAATGATACAGCTGGCCTGAAGGGCTGAATGGCCTTCTCCTGCCCCTATTTCCTATGTACCAATAGGTCACAGTCACAGCTGTCTTAAAGGTGCACAGCCTTGGTGTTCCAGAATCAGTAACACAATAACACAACACAGCAATAACACAATATCCACCTTTTGCTTTGAAAGAATGAGAACCCATTCTGATCACATGTACAAGGATGCACCAAGATAGATTGTTCCTCCACATTTCATTATCGATTTGCTTAATGTACAACACGAACAAATCCAATCCTTATACACTTACCTCTGGAGGAAACCACATCTGTTTCCTTTTGGAGCATTATCTAGAATGGAATTTGTGCACTGTTGTTTAACTGAAATACCAGGAGTTTTGCAACTGAAAATCAAGTGGGATAGTGTGGTGTACATTTTCAGCCATTCAAGACCATGTAGCTTTTGAAGCAGTGAGATCGCTACGTTATTGAGACACAGTGGCACCAGGAATTTTTGAGTTAAGGAAAAACTACCTGGCAACATCCTTCAGATTGGTCCATCTCTGGTCTGCCACAGAACTCTTTTTGCAATGTAGTCAGCAACATTAAATGTTGACAAACAGAAAACATCTCTGTCTCCTTTCTCTCGATGTGAGTGAAAGATACAAAAACCTTGGGACTCAAGAAAAAGAATTCTAATACAAAAAAGACCTAGGTCCACATGATCAGCTTGTGAATCAAAGATCAACCATCCACTGCTAAATCAAACTAACTGGGAGAAATTATTCTCCACATTGTGGTCTGGACCTTTGACAGAAATCATTCTACCAGTCTATATCTGTCCACCTACAACATCTGTGTCAAACCGTTTGTTTTTGTCTATCTTATTTGTGAATGAATGTCTGCACTCGGGGTTTTAAAGGGGAATAGTTTAAAGTTGTGATCTTTTTCTAAATGTATTTATTAACAAATATTTATTTTCCATTAGAGAGGAAAGCTGATTGCTTTTGCCCTCAATGACAGTGCGTCAGGGAAACTGATCACCTTTTGTGGTTTAACTGGATTGTTACACATTAGTGATGACTTGTGGAAAAGTGGAGCTCGATTATCAGCCACGTGTCCCAAGTAAGTGGTAACACCACAGCTTGGTGGCATAGCTACACTTTGCAAAGTGCTGTCATTACAGACAGACAGGTAGAATTTGTCATTGATGTGGTTTGTGCCTGAATGTTAGTTTGTTTCCTGTGAAGTGAGAGGCTGATGATCTACACTTCAGAGATGTTGCCTATTTCTTCACAGAGCCTGACCATTGATTATTACAACATCATATGCCCTTGGTTGCTACAACAATGTACTATGTTTTCCATGAATCATGTGTTTGTGTGAACATCTCATACACTGATGTTTACTCCTGGTTCAAGCTGGATAACTGTCAGCACAGTCACTGTCATGTTCTTGTATCATTTTCCCCTCTTTCCAGTAAGTCAAGTCAAGTTGCAGACCAAAGGGCTGCTCTCTCATTAGAGAGAGAGAGAAACAACTGGTGCTGGTTTAACCTGAGGGCCACCATAACTCAGGCAAGGGGAGAGGTTGAGAAGGAGAGTCCTTCATGGTAACCTCAGCTGTCAGCATCACACTGCTTTGCAAACCAAACATCCAGCCAACTGAGCTAACCCGACTCCCCACCTTTCCAACAATGTGTCTCACACATCAGGTTGATTAGTAAATGCATATTGAGGAAAGAGCTGTATCGACCTGTCTTCTAAACACGAGGGTAAATGTTGCTGAACAGAATGACATATAGAGTTAATAGCTCTCCAAAAGTCCAGGTAAATGGTTTTGACTATCGTTAGATGTTGCAAGTGTACAAGCAGGACGTTCTGTGAGACCTTTCAAGTGAGCACAGTGAGGAGAAATGATAAACAGTTCAATACCCCATTCCCTACACATCTTGGACAGGTGCATGAGTGAAATAGTCATTTGGCAGAATGTAATCATGTTCTTGGGTATTGAAGATATCAATCATAATCCTGTAGCACAAGGAATGCCATGTGGGATGAGAAATTCTCTCAGTTTTTAGTGTGGATGTGTTTCAGATGTTATGGTTAGTTGATTGCTGTCAAACCATTGAGTGGATCCATGCACCAATCATGTGGGTTTTCTGTTCCCATGTGATCATAGAAACATAGAAAAGTTACAGCACAGAAAAAGGCCATTCAGCCCACTGAGTCTGCACCAAGTCATTGAATAACCCCTCATTCTAATTGGGTTTACCAGCACTTA